ACAAGGTCACCCGCCAACGGTGTGTCCTTGGGGTGCGTGCCGACTCTGCGAAATCTCAGGCCACCACACGTCAATATGCAAGAAACTCGTCAACGTTCCAGACGGCTCAAAAGCCCCAGCACCGACAAAGGCCACCAAGAAGACGCCTACAACGTCAAAGGCGTCAACGAAAATGAATACTGTCACATGCGAGCAACCCGAACCGGAACAACAAGTTACAGAAGCGGTATTCCATATCAGCAATGCGGAAAACGTTCACCTACTTGTAGGGCAAGCACAGGTCCTCAATCCAACCACGCGAGCGTTGGAGCCGGTTTACATCATGCTCGACACGGGAGCCGACCGCTCATTCATCACAGACGATTTGGCCTCTCGTTTGAGGCTATAGGACGAAGATTCCAGCCGGCTTAGCATCACGACGTTCGCGTCAAAGAAACCAATGGTCAAAACCTGCGGCATCACATCGTTGCAAATGTGGGATGCAAGTGGGACCCCACATTCGTTCACTGTCACTCGAATTAATACACTCACAGAGATGCGAACAGTCTTTCCCGCGAAGACAAACGTTTCCTCTGTGATCATGATCTTCGACTATCTATAGACGCCACCGCTAAAGACATTCGACCCGAGATTCTTCTAGGATGCGCAGATCTCTTTTCGCTGCTAACCGATGGACCGGCGTCTCAGTATGTCCTACCTTCCGGCTTGCGTCTGATACATTCGAGATTGGGCTACCTTGTTGCGGGACGCAACTACAACAACCCATGCAGCCAGGAGGAAACGACAAAGGCCAAGGTGCACATTGCAAGTGCACATTCAATTGAAGACTCGCAAGCATGGGAAGATTGCTGCGCATTCGAATCTGCAGGAGTAGAAGAATTCATAGGGCCGGCGGTGGAGGAACGCAGACGAACAGACGCGGCAGTATGGCGGGCGTTTGAGGAAACAATTGAAAGGAAAGAAGACGGCTACTATGTGCGGCTGCCATGGAAAAAAGAGGCTACGCAACTGCCACACAATAAAGGACTAGCCGTACGCCGTCTGCTAGCCACGATAACAAAAATGAAACACGACCCAGAAATTCTCCAACAGTACCAAGGGACCATCGAAACACAGTTATGCCAGGGCATAATTGAGGAGGTCGATGAAGCCAAGCAACCTGATGGAGAAATTGTTCATTACCTGGCTCATCAAGCAGTAATAACTCCACATAAGAGCACAACGAAGCTCAGAGTCGTGTTCGACGGTTCAGCGCACATGAAGGATTCTCCATCCTTAAACGAAGTACTCAACTGAGGGCCAGTTCTGCTTCCGAAATTGGTCGATATCCTCCTTCGATTCAGAATCGGGAACGTCGCCATTACCAGTGATGTGGAGAAGGCATTCCTTCAGATCCGACTCAACAGGAAAGACAGGGACGCGACACGTTTCTTGTGGCTGCGGGATCTGAATCAGCCAGTGACACAGGACAACATCGTCACCTACCGTTTCAACAGAGTGACATTCGGTCTAATTTGCTCTCCATTTCTTCTCGCAGGAACGATCAAATATCATCTGAAGCACTGCACCAGGAATGTGGAGATCGCACGAGAAATCGACGAGAACACATACGTGGATAACGTAGTGGTTACATCAGCCTCTAACGGATGCAGTACAAATGTACAAGGATTCGAAGGCGATTTTTCAAGAGATGAACATGAATCTCAGGGAGTTCGTGTCCAATGGCGGACTTGAAAAGACAGATCGCTGACAAAGATCTCAGCGAAAATCAAGTACAAAAGATCCTCGGAATAAAATGGGATTCCGTCAGGGATCGATTCTGCCTCTCCTGCT